TAACCCTTGCCACTTCTCCACCCAACAACTTGCATCCCTTGCTGCTGGGAATACATTTCCACAGGTCCTCATTGGCACACAGCTATTCCTCTAAGTACACTGACCGCGGTCCGAGGATGAATGTGCTCACCTTCTTTCCATCCTCCACAACCCTCATCCAAGTCCCTTACCCAATCTATACCCTCCCCCTGTTGGGCATACCCTCAATCTTCACCCTCCCCGCTGGGCATACCCAGCAACTTGCATCCCTCCCTCCTCTGTGTCCTCCCCAACCTTCATCCGCAGCTTGTTCCTTTCATTGCTGTCATCTCAACTTGGTTCCCGAAGCATTCAATCATTGGACCCTTTGATTGCATCACAGGCCCTATCAAGTCCATATGTGCAAAAAAATAACGTTTACTGTCTGGATCTTGGTCTAGGGGTACCTGGGGTAGTTGACAGTCTTTGGGGAGCAGCTGTGCAGACGGTGGCAGGGGACATGGTGGAGAGGGAGTTGTGACATCAAATGGAACGGAGAACAGCAATGACCCTTTCTCCTTTTCTTTGTTTTCCATTTCTCCAAAGCTGCCCTGAATATTACGATGTATCCTGGAAGGATATTCGAGCTCGAAAGCACCTCTCAAGGCATAGGCACAGTAGGGCATTTTCCAAGTGAATCAGGTGAAAATTATGGTGAGATGCATCCTAGAAAGTGTCTTCTGACTCCCTGGTTTGAGCATGCCCCCTCATGGTTTACGAGAAATCATTAGGAACGAACATCCCTTCTAGCTGAATGATCATACGAAGCACACATATAAAGCCTAAAACTGACAATAATCAGCGTAAGAACAATAAGAGGGTACCCTTGAAAGGCGCAAATATCTTGCATGCAGATTGAGGGGCAGCAGGGCCTATTCTGGCCAATAGTAGACTGGCCCGGACTGTTTCACCAGGGAAGAGGCCATCCCAACATGGTCAAATCGAGGTAGGGCCCGGATCTATCTGGACGAAAGCCACTCCGCCCTCACCTGGATTCTGACCACCACTGTTTTCTGGAGGCCAGACGAACCAGCAGCGCATTCTTGCTGGCTGGGAAAGATGTGGTCTACAGTCGCTCACATGCGAGATAGAAAGTGAGACACGAGGTATCGTTCCTAGCTGGTGATGACTTGCCATTTGATATGATTCTGGGTATGTACTACAACTCAGAGGTTGCTAAGCAAGTTATAATCTGGGACACTGTTGCACACCCCAACGGTCGGCGGCCCTTGACTGGTCGGCTGCCAACCCGCCGACCGGTCGGCTGGTCGGCACCTACAGGTCGGGGGT